ACTCATAAAGCTGATAGACCTGAATGTAGATGTATATTCGTGACAAACCAGAGTGAAATATAGTATGAAATACATGTGAAGATGGAAAGAACCGGTTTTAAATGTCCCCTGAGTTCCTTTACAAAGCCCTGCTTTTGTCACTGCCTTCTCACTGTTGCTGACATGCTTCAAGTACCAGCATTCAGAATTTTACAACTACTTGCATAAAAATGCTTATTTAATTTCTGGTGCAGTCATGGCTCATTTCTATTGTGAAAAACAGGAGTCTCATTTATTTTGTGTTAAACGGATTCCATGGGATGGTCTCAGAACTTGAGAACAGTAGCATCCATCGTGTTCTGTGTTGTAAATAACTTCAAACTGACCTTTCAGACCACAACCTGTTTCTGAGTTGGAAATCCTTTTATCAGAAAGATGAAGCCAAAACTTTGACTTTGAGGGATGAGTTTCCTTCCTTTGTGTCACAAGGAACAAAACATTTCATTATTTTTCCCCCCCACATTATGTTCCATTCGTCTTAGATTGTCAACCCATAAAGGGCAAGGGCAGCGTTTGCCAGGCTTGACTTGAGTTGTGGTGTGTAGCATCATCATCAGTGTTATTTTGATCATGATGATGAATATGGTATCATCTGTGATGTAGAGCTACATGATTGTCTTCTAGTAGTTTTTCTAATTTGTTTCTGTTTTTGCTTTTAAAAGTCACAACTCTATGATTGAATTGCTCCATACTAAGTTTAAAAGTTTTAAAGTATGAATTTATTCTTTGCAAGAACAAGCAATGTCACTGAAACTGAGAAATAAGTTCCTGCTTCACAGCACAATTTTGCCTTTTTTTCACTGCCTTCATAGAAAACACTGGTGAGTTATAGATAGGATGCTTTTCAAAACCACTTAATTTTTAATAAAGTCACTAGATACTAAACTGATATTATGTAAAGGAATAATATGTGGTAAGAGGCAACTGTTTCTGATTTTCAGGATGCTTAAGCTATACATTTAATTAACACTTTCAGCTTATACACATAATTTTAGCTAGTTTTTCTTTTGGGGGAGCGGGGGTATTGGCCAGACTACGTGGCATGCAGGATCTTAGTTTCCTGACCAGGGATCGAACCGGTGCCCCATGCATTAGGAGCATGGAGTGCTATTGGACTGCCAAGGAATTCTCCACATATAATTTTAAAAGACTTGAACATAAGCTATGTTTATATACATGTTTGTTAATCCAAATAAATTTCTATATAGTAGCAAATGGACAGCGGTGAAAACAATACCATACAGTGGTTTTTATGTCTGTTTAAAACTGTATTCTCAGGATCCTTAGGACTCAAACAATAGCATTGAGCCTTTGTATTTCCAGCTCTATGAAGCATTCATTCTCTATGATCTTTTCTGTAGCTCTTTTTCAATTTATAAGACAATAAACAAAGGAATCAAGACAGTATGTGGTCATGTTCAGTAAACCCAAATATTATTGGGATGCCCCTGGAAAGATAGGATGAGAAGACTTTCGTTTGAAGACAGAGCTACTTTATAACAACTGGTGGCAAGATTAATTTTCAGCTATAGACTTGTTTCATGCAAAAATGCTTGGAGGATTTGGGGACTTACTTGAAAAGTTGTATCCAGAGTGGAATCTAAGCATACCATATGTTTCAAGTGCATTTGATAGAAATGCAGATTGAGCTTTCATGAATGCCTGAGTTTTCTTTGAATCTTTGCTTTGTGGAACCAGTTTTCCTTCCTTTATGATACACTATATGCTACCATCAGTAAACACGAGCCAATCATGTTTTCAGATCTTTTGCTCTTTGGCCTAGAACTGCCTTCCCCTTTCAATTGCATAACCTGAAGCATAAACAGAATAGCATTTATCCATCCATTCATGAGCTTAGTACATTGCAAGGTAGAATTACTTGTGTAATTCAAAGACTGAAAATGGCTAGCCATTTTAGAAGGTGAAGATCAAAGTCCTGCCTTGAACTATATCTTAAAAAAGTGTTACTCTCCAATATGATCTGTGGTTTAATATATTTTAGACATTTTGAGTTATGAGAGGTGCCCTTGACATTCTCTGACTCTGTTAAAACTTGAGTACCATTTTTCAGTTTCTTCATTCATTCATTCTGTGTGTTTATTCATTCTCTGTTCCTGCACTAACATAATCCAATGCTGGTGTATGGAAGATGAATTCGAAACAATTCAAGTTTTCAAGTAGAGAGACAAAGATAAGTCAAGTGTATGCAATACCTTGCGCTGTTTAAGATATGATCATAGTACCCTTGGAGCACAGATAAGAGAATAATTGATTTCATTTGGGTCCAAGGATGGGGAAAGAGAAAGGGTAGCATCAGGAAATTGAAAGGGTTTACCTTGGAGCTAGACCTGCAACTCAGGCTTCTTTGTAGTTCGCTGTCTAGAAGGGGTGGGGAAGGCAACTGCCCCCAAGGGGGATAATACGTATGAAGGCAATGAGTTCTGCATGAAAGAGCTTGATGAGAATTTGGATATGGTAGCATGGAGGGCATTGTGTGGAGAGGCAGGTGGGATGGGAGCCTGGAAAGGAACGGGAGCACAGAGGTAAAGGACTTGGTAGGAGATGCTGAGAGCAGACCCTCCCTTCTGCTTTATCACACAGTGGGGACCAATGTCCATTCTTTCAGAACTCAGGCAGTGACTAAAACCGAAGCAAGGCTGGTTTGGGGACAGAGTGCTTCAGTTATATATTATACCCTGTCAGTGCTGAGCTGAAAGACTTCTTCCAGATTCTCAGAACTGCAGGCTGGCAGGGACCTTTCAGTTCACCTTGTTCAACTCCTTTGTTTTATAGAAGAGGCATCTGAAGCTCAGTGAGACTGAGGAACATAATAGCTCACCTTTAATAGTTATCAGATATTATATAGGTGAAGAGTGAAGTCAGAATTCACCCACATAGGTTCCTTGGGCAAGAAATGAGATGATGCACAGTTATGACCCAGACAACCTGTTATCCCAATTTTAAACATTTCCTGTGAAAGAATGAGTTTTCACAGGTAATATAGTTTGGTTCTTAGAATTTTGTGTGCCCTCTTAAAATAGAATTGCCCATAAAAAAGGAACTTGACTGCCTAAGACCAGAACACTTAACAGTAATGGCCCTGCCCTCATTCATTCCCTCAGTGATTATTTACTGAGCTCAATTTGTGTGCCAGGCTTTATACTGAATTATGTAGACAACTGGGAGCTGAAACCAACCTAGTCCTTATATCCATGGAATTTTCAGTCTCTTGCAGGAGACATCCTTCCAAAACTTGCACAAATAAGGGAGGCTGGTTAAGTGGTATATGGTGCTATGAGAATATGGAATTAAGGTGAGAGGGTGTGTATCAAGAAAGTCTGCTCTGAGGAGCCTTATTTAATCCTTTACTACCTTTTGCAATTTCTTTATCATTGACCCCATTTTCCTGATGAGGTAATGGAGACTCTGAGAGATTGGTATCTTGGACCGAATCACACAGCTAATAAGACCTGGGCTCAAACCCACATCTCATGATACCAAGTGTGATGTTCTTTTCCTACACCCAGCCTTTTTGTTTGTCTGTTGTTTTTGGCCACTCAGCATGTGGGGTCTTAGTTCTCCAACTCATGTTCCCTGCAGTTCAAGCTTGAAGTCTTAACCACTGGACAGCCAGGGAAATCCCTACACCCAGCCTGTTTGATGTCAGCATTTAAGAAGAAAGCTAACTTGGATATTAATGCATATATATGAAGTATCAGTTCAGTTCAGTTCAGTTGCTCAGTTGTGTCTGACTCTTTGTGACCTCATGAATCCCAGCACGCCAGGCCTCCCTGTCCATCACCAACTCCTGGAGTTTACTCAAACTCATGTCCATCAAGTCGGTGATGCCATCCAGCCATCTCATCCTCAGTCGTCCCCTTCTCCTCCTGCCCCCAATCCATCCCAGCATCAGAGTCTTTTCCATTGAGTCAACTCTTCACATGAGGTGGTCAAAGTGTTGGAGTTTCAACTTCAGCATCAGTCCTTCCAATGAATATTCAGGGTTGATCTCCTTTAGGATAGACTGGTTGGATCTCCTTGCAGTCCAAGGGACTCTCAAGAGTCTTCTCCAACACCACAGTTCAAAAGCATCAATTTTTTGGTGCTTAGCTTTCTTCACAGTCCAACTCTCACATCCATACATGACCACTGGAAAAACCATAGCCTTGACTAGACGGACCTTTGTTGACAAAGTAATGTCTCTGCTTTCTAATATGCTGTCTAGGTTGGTCATCACTTTCCTTCCAAGGAGTAAGTGTCTTTTAATTTCCTGGCTGCAATCACCATCTGCAGTGATTTTGGAGCCCAAAAGTAAAGTCTGCCACTGTTTCCACTGTGTAGAAAGGTGGTGTTAATGAACCTATCGGTAGGGCTGCAGTGGCAATGCAGACATAGAGAACAGACTTGTGGACGCTGTAGGGGAAGGACAGGGTGGGACGAATTGAGAGAGTAACATGGAAAATATACATTATCTTAGGTAAAATAAATAGTGAAAACTTGCTGTATGATGCAGGGAGCTCAAACCTGGTGCTGTGTGACAGCATAGAGGAAGGGATTGGGCGGAAGGTAGGAGGAAGGTTCAAGAGGGAGGGGGCATTTGTATACCTGTGGCTGATTCATGTTGATGTATGGCAGGAACCAACACAATATTGTAAAGCAGTTATCCTCCAGTTAAAAATAAATACATTTTTAAAAAGAGGGCTAAGAAAGTAGATCTACAGCAGAAGGCTGGAAGGTATGAGAGAAGTAGTAGAAGAGAAGATGGCCTCCTGAAAGGTGATGTGAATGTAGTGACAGTGGGGGAGAGAGCAATTTCAGAACACAGTGAAGTGAAGGGCTGAGGTGTGAAGGGGTGGTGAAGAATGAAACTAATGAATGGTACTGCCATGTTCAAGAAGGTGATGGGGTAGGAGAGAGCCCCCAGCAGTAGGGGAGGTACTTCTGGCTGCCTGGGAGTTAACATGGGCATTCGTGAGTGGTAGGAGCTATACACAGAGCTGAGTTAGGGCACCCACACCCTTAGACCTCTAAGAGAAGCATCAGTATTGCAGGATGTGCAGAACCACTAGGATTGTGAGAGGTTAAGGTAACTTCATGAGTGTAAAAAGGCAATTCTGACGGTGAGTTTGCTTTGGAGTCTTAAATTGTACTCAATCTGCTGTCTATTTGGTTGTTGATTCCTTTTAAGAAGAGGTCTCTGAAAGTTATTTGAAGTAATCTGTCAAGATACAGACCTTTGATTATTTTTTAAGCAAACACTGTTGAGGCCATCAACATGAGGTCATAGGGTATTTATGGGTATAGTTGGAAAATGACATCATGGATTAGTGCTTATCTAAAATGTTTTAACTTGGTTACTGTGTAGTTATTTTTATCTGTCTCATGTACTTTGGGCTATGTTTTCTGTCCTGTGCTTTGATTGCTACTGCTAATTTTGTTTTAAGATCATAAAATGGCTTTAGACTTCTCTGAAAGCCCATTACTTATTGGCATGTTTTGATTTTTGAGAGATTCATGTGTTCCTTCAGGCTTTTAAAATACATTCACAGCAGTAACAATAATTTATTTGGGGGATTGGTTGTTTCTAAATCTTAAGATCTGAAAGAGAGAGAATTGTAAAATTCACTTCCAAAGTTGGAGGCTCTTAAAAATCAGGCGGTCAAAGCATTTACTATCATTTTTTGGATGTGAATTGCAAGAAGATTTTAGCATGTGAAATATTTAACAGGAAATGTGTCTTCTCTCTCTGTATGTTGAGGTCCTTTTCTTTATTTTCTAGCCTTGTCTCTCATGACTCAGGTGTTAATTTCCTGGGAAGAATCTCTGTCCTTCATTCTCACTTAACCCCTCAAATTGCCTAGGGATGGTTAATCTCTGGTGTTATATCCCAGTCCTGCCCAGCCCCGCACCATGTTTCAGAAACCAGTCAGTCTGTAAACATTAGGTAAGGCTAAACAGTGACTCCAATCTCTGTGTGCCCCCTTTTTCCCCACTTCCAAGTTTTCTGAGAGCTAAGGCGTGTGGGAATTGTCATTTTGGCCATGTGTTTAGACCCAAGCGAGAGAAGTAATCATCACCATTGATTAATGCAGAGAAGAAGACTGCTTTAACACCATGCACTGGGCTAGACCCTGAGGACACAATATGAGGACACAGTCCCTTCTCGAGGACCTTACGGTGTATGGAAAGGAAACATCCTGAAGACAGCTTGGCAGAAAGGTCAACCAAGCTTATTAATGAGTAGACATATAGTCCTCATTTATTATTGAACACATATTTATTGAGTCACTTATGAGATGGGCTTCTGAATGGGGAGTGATTGTAGCAGTGAGGGAGAGGGACACTCCTTGCGCAGCTCTTCAGGCAGTATCTTTGCTTACGTATGTTATCAGGTGATGTTGATATTTTGTCTATTATCTTAGTAACTATCACACCTTTGAAATTTGTATTAATAACACTTGTTTGACCAAGAGGTTAGCAAAGTATGTAAACTTTGGTTTTCTTCTGAAACGTGTCACGTTAAAATATGACAGCCAGTTCTAGCTATCAGTGCGTATTTCCTGCTCAGGTTCATTTTTCCTGGTCAGTAACATGCAGTAGTAAGCAGTATAACTGGCCATAACTGACATGATTATCCCCATATATTCTGTGTCATTTCTTACAGTTATTGCCAGTTTTCGAGGAACTGTGCCATATGGTCTGTCATTGGAAATTGGGGATACAGTTCAGATCCTGGAGAAGTGCGATGGTAAGTAGACTAGTATTGATTGTTCGCAGTTGGGTAAACGATCTCCTCAGCATTGGGCAGCTCATAAAGTGTACAAATTCTTTTCATACTTCTATTAATCTCTGGGATTTTCCCCTTAGTCGCAATGAACCATTTTTTACAAAACTATTTTCTTGCATGTTCAATTTTTGGCTTATGAGAAAATATTGTTTGGTATTTTTAAGCTGATTATATTTTTTCCTAATATTATTTATTTATATTTACTAGATACTATTGAGACTGTTGAATTTTTTCTGAGAGTTCATGCCTCAGGGCCAAACTTGAAGGCCTTTCTTGGAATGTCAAGAGTCTGGTGGGCTCCCCAGGACAGAAAGAAACAGAGGTCCAGAGCAGAAATGCTTTAACCAAGGTTGGGTAACCAGATTCCTTGGGGTGGGACTCCTGCCCTGGCCAACTCTGCTCTAGTCCTGTAACCTCTTCCTCCTCACCTCCCCCAAATTTGGACTGAAATTATTTACTCCATTTGAAATGTTAAGTGAACTTGTATGATTAATTTATATAAGAGGCATCTCATTAAATCAGCTTAGTTCTGCTTCTGTTCCTTGTAACAAAACATCCTTAAACTCTTGTCCTTAAAAAGATCCCAGATAAAATGACTACTCTTTTTTTTTCCTTAACAAAATGGCCATATTGTAAAGTTCCATCAGCATATCCAAATATATGGTTTTCCTCTCAATACATTGTCCTTACTAGGGATTTATAATATGATAAGACTATCATATTAAGGTTCATTATTGATAAAATCGTGTTCTTCCAAATAGAACTATTACTTTTATTTAGAGCCTGTCATTAAATGGTGGTGATACATGGACATTTATTTTGTACAGTGTCACTGATATATTTAAAAATATAAGGTTTTTCTCTGTCATTACCAGATTTATTTTGTCTGTTTCCACTTCATTTACAGATAAATATAAAATCTGTTATGAATGGGTGAAAATGTACTTCCCAGCTAATGGGAGCTGTTTTGTAATATAAAAACCTTTCTGTGTGGTGTCGTTGGACAGAGACCTCACTGTGACATTTCTGCATTTCTCATGAAGTTTTGGTTACTGTTAAAATAATTATTTAAGAATGGATATATTTCTTGGATGGATGTCTTTAAGGAATCTAATAAATCCTGACGTTATAGAGATTGCAATTTTCAATTCATTCTACTTTTTCCAGGCTGATTGTAAAATGATGTTTTACAAAATATTTTTTTAAGAAAACTCGTGAGGAACAAAAATATTTTAATACAAAACTCAAATACTTTTTCTAAAAGTTCAATTAATCAAAAAGATTCAATTCAATAGAACATTGGTTTTATGATAAAATAATTTCTTCCAATAAGCAAGATGGTTTCTATAGTTGAAGAAACAATAAGTTGAAAATAATACATTTATAGGAGACTGTATATTAGCTTCCTGAAGTAGGAAATGGTAACCCACTCAAGTTTTCTTTCTTGGAAAATGCCATGGACAGAGGAGTCTGGAGGACTACAATCCATGGGGTCGCAAAGAGTTGGAGACAACCAACCAACTGAGCACACACACAGCGCATGTATATTAGCATATAAATTCACATATATATATATATATATATACTCTGTAATTGTTTTAAACTATAAAAAGTTATGTTCCCCCTTAAGGACAGTGCTGTAAAACTGATTGAGTCACTTTGGAGGTTAAGTAATAGACATTCTGCAGAATAAAAATTATGGTGAGCTCAGTTGATGGGACATGGTGTGGATGAAAGAGTGCCGTTAATGCTCTAAGTGGATGAAACCTGGCTTCTTTCTTCTTACGCTATCAGACTGATCCTCACACAAGATGGTAGGCTAAAGAATGTGTGAGTTCAGCACAGAATTGCTGGCTAAGCACTGCTCTTTGGTGTTAGAGTCAGGGCTTTGTATTCAGGCAAAGACAGTTTGGAACTGTACTAAATCTTGTGTAGAGTCATGAATTTCTTTGAGATATAGCGTGACATTTTATAAAATGGAGTGAAACTAAGCTCAGAGAGGTCACTTAACTTGCCCAAGATTCAACAGCTTGTACTTACTGATAGTAAAACTAGAATTTAAAGCCCAGTACTCTGATTCCCCAAGCCTTTATTTCCATTATGCATGTTTGTATTTTTTATGTACATTTCCAGTCCAATTTTTAAATGATTTTATTGATAGAAGACTTAAACTTGTAGTCACTTGACTTTTATAGTCTAGCCTAATTCCAACTCCCACATGTTTATACCTAGAATATTTACATGTAAGGTAAAATTCTGTCAGCAAAGGATAGATTGATTTCTAATCATTTCTTCTAAGTATTGTAATGATTTATTGAAACATGACCATGATTATTTCTCCACAGGCTGGTACAGAGGCTTTGCCTTAAAAAACCCGAATATCAAGGTAAAAATAATCACTTTTACTATAATTACGGGATTTTAAAGAAAGACAGTTAATTTACTTTATTTCATTATACAATTGAAATTACAGTTGGGACTCTTAGTTGAAATACTAAATGGCAATACAGATTTTCATAATTTTTGAAATTCCTTTGAACTTGGATTATACTTAAGACATGCTATTCAGATGATAACCCTGTGTCGCTCTTGAAATTTATACTGAGAAGACCTTAATAAGCTCATGATATATAAACAAAATCTTCTTGAAGTGTAAGTTTTGCAGAGAGCTAAATTAAAATTCAGGCAGTGGAAATATATATTCCAAAAGAAATAATGAATAAAGGTATTTAATCTTTGTTTTCTGTGATATCATTTGTAAAAGTTGGTGTGGAGAGTGGTTTATTTTAGGTATGTTATGAGTCCTTTTAGGTGTGAGGAGCTGAAATGTGGGAAAATCAAATTATAAAGAGTCCATCTTTCTTACCATTCCAGACAAAAACTAAGAGTCATTATTGTTTATATATTTCTATAAATCATAAGGAATTATAGTAGGAAGTAATATGATTTTTCTTTTACCTTTCCTTTGTGTAGTTTATGATGTTAACACTAATCCTTACTTCTATATTTTTATACTTTGTTCCTATCTTCCCATCTTTACCCATGCTACCCACATTCACTAATATTTTCTTACATGTCATGTTCATTTTTTGGTTTAATTCTGGTTTTCTTAGGATTGTAGATAAGAAAGTATATCATTTCTCATTTCCAAAATATAAGTAATCTAATCTATTTTGCCTACATTTCTGTTTAAGTATACCTTTTTTCCTGGATCATCCAACTGTGTTAATTACTGTATTTCATTTATTTTAGGTTTTTCTAAAGGAGAGCCTATACTTTAGCTCTCATATAAAGTTATTTTTGGTCATCTGCAGGCACATGCATATGTAACTTCAATATTTTTCATTTAGAACATGCTTTAAAAAGTGTTAAGATTTGTTGCTTCTATTTCTCTTCTAAAGAACTTCAATTTCTGACTTCTTGTTAATTCCAATAATTACTCTTATTTTCTATTCCTACTAAATTGAGGTAAATTTAAATTCCAAAGGAAAAGGTTTTTTTTTTTTTTAAACCTATGCCTGTTTACTACTGTTGTATATACAGAGCTTGCTAGTTAAATTTTATGTTATCCTTGGACCCACAATGGTGATAATGTATTCAAATGACATTTGTTTTTCCTAAATATTTAATTGAATCTTCCATTTAATTGTACATAAAAAATCATTCAGAGAATATTGTCATTTAATGGATAATAAAATTGCTCTCTTTTTAAATTTTTTTTTTCAATTTCTCATTTAGAACAAAGGAACAATTTCCTTGCCCTAGCCTTTCCCTACAATAAAGAGCTTTAAGCTAGCATGTCTTCTTTTGTTTAATTTTTGTTCCATCAGAATGGCAGCCTGGTGATGATTTGCTGCTATGTTTTCATTAAGGATCGTTCCTAAACATGTAATACACATACTGTTTCTAAATTCGTAGTAGTGCTATTTTTCAGTATGTATTTTCAAATAGACACATGAGTAGTTTGAAGAGAAGAAAAAGAACTACAACCAAGAGAAGCAAACTAAAACCCCTTTTTTCAAAACTGCAATATTAAAAAAAAATTATTTAGCATGCTTTCTATATAGAATTCTTGAAAATACAAAAAATATCTGTCATATGTAGAATATATTTTTGAGTGGGATTTAATGTTTTGGTTGTATTTATTTTAAAGTATCTCTAAATTTGTAAACTGATAAATGGTAGAAATAAAATGACTGGTTCTAAGCTGCATTAGATTTCACCTAGATAATGTGTTAGAGATTCCATCTTCCTGGTTTTGTTATGGTTGTGTGGTGATATTTTATATATATGACTTACGAAATTTACTCTGCTGTAATAGACAGCTAGCACCATAACCTTCATGTTTTCTCTTCCAGGGTATATTTCCTTCCAGCTATGTTCACTTGAAAAATGCCTGTGTAAAGAACAAAGGGTAAGAAATGAATTTTATTGATGGAGAGTTTTCACACAATCATTGCTTATTTTGGAATTTGAAAGACTTATTGTCTTGAAGAAATGAACCGATTCTTGCCATTGTTTGTGTTGTTAGATAAAAGACAGATGACATTAAGGCAGTTTGTGGAGAAAATGAAAGAACCACATCTATATGTTGGACACCAGTACAATCTAGGGCACTGGAGGTCTCTCATTGGAAATCATGGAATCTACCTAATCTTAAGCAAGAGGAGTTGGTTCTTCTTGGTTTCCTGTTGTGTAGGGAAGCAAGCAATCATAGCCATCAAATGCTGAGTCATATCTCAACCCAGGAATTTCCGAGATTCACTACTGATCATTAGTAGCTGAGTCTGTCATTATTTTCCTAATTGGGCTTAAAAACATATCCTTGTGTGTTATTGTTATTGTTCAGTTGCTAAGTCCTGTTCGACTCTCTGCAACCCCATGAACTGCAGCACACCAGGCTCCTCTGCCTCCCGCAATCTCCCAGAGTTTGCTCAAATTCATGTCCATTGAGTGGGTGATGCTATCCAACCATCTCATCCTCTGCCAACCCCTTCTCCTTTTGTCTTCAATCTTTCCCAGAATTAGGGTCTTTTCCCATGAGTCATCTCTTGGCATCTCAGTACAATCTAGGGCACTGGAGGTCTCTCATTGGAAATCATGGAATCTACCTAATCTTAAGCAAGAGGAGTTGGTTCTTCTTGGTTTCCTGTTGTGTAGGGAAGCAAGCAATCATAGCCATCAAATGCTGAGTCATATCTCAACCCAGGAATTTCCAAGATTCACTACTGATCATTAGTAGCTGAGTCTGTCATTATTTTCCTAATTGGGCTTAAAAACATATCCTTGTGTGTTATTGTTATTGTTCAGTCGCTAAGTCCTGTTCGATTCTCTGCAACCCCATGAACTGCAGCACACCAGGCTCCTCTGCCTCCCGCAATCTCCCAGAGTTTGCTCAAATTCATGTCCATTGAGTGGGTGATGCTATCCAACCATCTCATCCTCTGCCAACCCCTTCTCCTTTTGTCTTCAATCTTTCCCAGAATTAGGGTCTTTTCCCATGAGTCATCTCTTGGCATCTGGTAGCCAAAGTATTGGAGCTTCAGCTGATACTGAGCTTTAGCATCAGTCCTTCCGATGAATATTCAGGGTTGATTTCCCTTAAGATTGACAGGTCTGATCTCCTTGTAGTCCAAGGGACTCTCAAGAGCCTTCTCCAGCACCACAGTTCCAAAGCATCAGTTCTTCAGTGCTCAGTCTTCTTTATGGTCCAACTCTCACAACCATACATCACTACTGGAAAAACCACAGCTTTGACTTCTGTTGGCAAGGTAATGTCTCTGCTTTTTAATACACTGTCTAAGTTTGTCACAACTTTCCTTCCAAGGATCAAACATTTCTTTTAATGGGTCCAGTCACTGTCTGCAGTGATTTTGGAGCCCCCCAAAACATAATCTGTCCCTGTTTCCAGTTTTTCCCCATCTGTTTGCCATGAAGTGATGGGACCAGATGTCATGATCTTAGTTTTTTTAATGTTGAGTTTTAGGCCAGCATTTTCACTCTCCTCTTTCACTCTTATCAAGAAACTCTTTAGTTCCTCTTCACTTTCTGCCATTAGAATGGTATCATCTACATATCTGAGGTTGTTGATATTTCTTCTGGCAGGCTGGATTCCAGCTTGTGACTCATCCAGCCTGGCATTTCTCTTGATGTACTTTGCCTGTAAGTTAAACAAGCAGGGTGACAATATACATCCTTGACATACTCTTTTCCCAGTTTTGAAGCAGTCCATTATTCTATGTTGGGTTCTAACTGTTGCTTCTTGACTTGCATATAGGTTTCTCAGGAGACAGGTAAGGTGGTCTGGTATTCCCATCTCTTGAAGAATTTTCCACAGTTTGCTGTGATCCACACAGTCAAAGGCTTTAGTGTAGTCAGTGAGGCAGAAGATGTTTTTCTGGAATTCCCTTGCTTTCTCTGTGATCCAGTGAATGTTAACAATTTGATCTTTGGTTCCTCTGCCTTTTCTAAGCCCATTTTGTACATCTGGAAGTTCTCAATGCACATACTACTGAAGCCTAACTTGAAGGATTTTGAGTATAATCTTGCTAGCATATAAAATAAGCACAATTATCTGGTAGTTTGAACATTCTTTGCCACTGCCCTTCTTTGGGTTTTGAATGAAAACTGACCATTTCCAGTCCTGTGGCCACTGCTGGGTTTTCCAAATTTGCTAACATATTAAGTACAGCACTCTAACGGCATCATCTTTTAGGATTTGAAATAGCTTAACTGGAATTCTATCATCTCTACTAGCTTTGCTTGTAGTAATACTTCCTAAGACCAACTTGACCTCACATTCCAGGATGTCTGGCTTTAGGTGAGTGACCATACCATCATGGTTATCCTGGTCATTAAGACCTTTTTTGATAGTAACAATAGTAAGTACTTAAAACATTAGATTGAAAATATATTTCTAATAATAATAATTGCCACTACTATTACTCTTTTAATCAATGTGTGTTCTTCAGAAATGTTGTGAAGCTATAACCCACCAGAAATGAGTCAGAGTTATCAGTCCTTTTGGAATTCTCCAACCAGAGTCTATCTAACCCTCCTCAAGTAAACCAAGGGACTGTCCAGAAAACACACACTTACTCTTTGTTCTGACCTTTCTGGCCTGGTGACCTGGATCTTTCTACCCTGCCCCTTAAAGGATCCACCTGGGCCAACCCCTGTAGCCAGTCTCTTTGCTGCCTTTGCCCCAAACCCAACCCTGATCCTAAAAACCCTCCAGAGTAGAGAGCCACCCTGCCCCCATCTTGCATGCAGACTGAGAAAGAGAAAATAGACAGCATGCTAGCAAAGATGATGTCAAGCATTGTTCTGTGTACTTTAAGTCCTCTCTCTGAAAATGCGTTGTGGTGGGACATAGTTTTAATTGAAACAAGTACCTTGTTTGTTTGTCCTAGCCAGTAACTGGTGAATATCTGACTCCCTTGAGTCTGAGGAAGTTTAACAATAGATAAAATTGTCTCAAAATTTGGTCCTGTTAGTTTAAGACTTGGTGTGGGTTCGACACCTAACACAGGGCATGATGAGCATTATACAGCAAGAGAACCTCAGGGTAGAACCAAAGTTTATTTTCTTAAAAAAAAAAGTTAGAATTGATGGAGACTTTAGGTTCTAGGACCGTTAACTGGAAGAAAAACTTTAACCTGAAAACATTCCAGAACACGTATTGCCAGATGATTGCTTTCCCAGAGAGCAGTCTCTTTAGGCTTTTGATGTTGCCTGTCTTATTTTAAGGGGATTAGCAGGCTGATGGCCCACCGGGATGAAATAACTGCAATATACATCTCAGAATAACTCAACAGAATATAATTTCAAGGGCAGTTACTTATGCCAGACTCTTTGAATGTTGGTTTTGGTATAATTAAGAGGAAACAGCTGCCTCACCTAAAATGGCAATTTTGTGCTTCTTAAAAATGTACATTTTGGTTGAGCAAACCCCAGACCAACTTCCCACAGACTAAATTGCCTTTAAATTCTTTCCTGGGTCTCAGAGCAATGCAAGACTGATGGGGTTGGGGGGTGGGGGTCCTTAAATTATAGTTGTGACTGGTGAGGTCACTTCTTTGTTGTTTAATTCTTGCTACGGTCATGTAAGTTTTTAAATGCTAAGTAGGTTGTTAAGTTTTCTTGGGAATTCATTGTTGCTGCCCAGACTTTGCATCTCTCATTTTATAATGCCTGTCTCCAAATACTCATCATTTAAATTGCAACAGCTGCTTGAAAAGCAAAATAAATGCACTACCATTTGAAAATGTCAATTATGTAGACTTGATAAAAGGTTCTGTATATGTCACAGTTCATATATTACTGTTTACTTTTATTTCTGATATTACATCTTCAGCTATGTTTAAGCTCTAGAAAGAAGTAAAATATTCTCAGGATATTTTAGCAGCAGTATGAAATGAGGCTCTGTTGGTGAAGAAATCAAGGCAAGATTTTAATTCCCATACTTGCCGAGAAAACTTTACAAAAGACAGTTATGTACACTTTGGACTTAACATCAAGAAGGAACACAGAACAGTTAATAGCCTCATGATAAGAAATAAAAATTTCCGTTGATCATCTGCATAACATGGTTCAGTGTCCACTGAACACTGAATATTGTCCTTAGAAAAAGATGCTCAAATGAAGAAGATAATCCCCCTCAGTATGGTCAATTAGCATACTTTTGGGAAGTAGTATTAAAGGCACTTACCCATTTTAACCTGCACAAAAATGAAGAATTTTAAAAAAAGAAATGAAAGATGAAAAAAATAAAGGTTATTGTATGTCAAAGATAGGATGCAGAAGTCAAATTCAATCTGTTTTTTTTCTCTCCATCTCCTTATATATATGCTTAGCATCAGGACCACCATAGATACTCTGATAATATTGGTATGAATATTTTCCAAGTATAGTTTCTGACACATAGAAAAGAAATAGAAGGAATATATTACCCTAAACATGGAGAGGAGCATTCTGCAATGGATATTCAAATACCTGTAATGTCTTAAACCCTTTATAAGTTCTGTGATGCATGACAACATTACTGATAGTAATCATTTTTCATTGTCCTGTTTGCAAGTAATGAAAATGCGGTGTTAATGAGATCAAGTGAGTATTCTGTCAGTACCTCAGTGTCTAGTTGTTTATAATACTGAGTTAGTTTGGATGTTTGCAGCCATCATATCCTGATCATTGAATGAGGCTTTCACTCTCTTTGAGCCCAGTGGTCATAGCGCTTGGAAGGCAAGAGCCATCTCACAGTCTAGATAGCCTGGTAACCTCATGTTACATACAAGGACTTTTGGACTTGGAGAATTTAAGTGAGTTGCTGTTTATAGGTCAAACTGTGCCTGGCGCACAACCTTACTGATACTGTTGCTTCACCACACTGCTTAAACTTTGATCTAGATGAAGCGGCTGGTCATTCTGGTGTTGTACTGCCATAACCCACATCACATTCCTCACGCAAGTTCATATTCAGATCCTGGTTTCTGTTTGCAGAACCAAAAATAACTAGGCAGCTTCCTTTCCTAGTTGGTCTTTTAGAATATTTAAAAGATTATTGGCTATGTCATTCGCATATATGCTTGTTGTTCAATTTCACAGACAATTTGAAATGGTTATTCCCACTGAAGACTCTGTGATCACAGAAATGACATCAACATTAAGAGACTGGGGAACTATGTGGAAACAACTTTATGTGGTACGTAACTTTTTAATGGCATCGTTTTTTCAGTAGAGAACTGTTTCAAAAAATATCTGAACAGGGATCAGTGTCAACTAGTATTTGAGCACCTGCTGTAAGTCACTACTACTCCTGTGGGAATTGGGGATAGAGAGCTTAATACAAAATAGTCTGATTTTTATCCCTATGTCCATCCAGCATGGATTTTGTAAGGTCTTTTTCAACCTGCACGAAGGTAAAAAATTACTTTCCTGGCATCTAATCAAATAGGATGATGTACATGGAACCTAGATTTAGGCTTTCTGAATAATTTTAATTGTCACAGAGAAATAAGCTTATTTTTCAATATAATTTTCATAATGATGACATTCAATTATATTCTAATTCTCTGTACATTGCTCAAGTATACTAAAAATGATAATCTATTTAGAATCAATGAGAAGATTCTAGAACTACAAGAGAAAGGGATGCTTTTTGGGGAAAAAAGGAGCCAGTGTTTTGGGTATATACGTATATATGGCTTTCCAGGTGATGCTAGTGGTAAAGAACCTGCTTGCCAGTGCAGGAGACAGAGAAGTTGCAGGTTCAATCCCTGTGTCAGAAAGATCCCCTGGAGGAAGGGGCAGTCCACTCCAGTATTCTTGCCTAAAGAATGCCATGGACAGAGGACCCTCGCAGGCTACAATTCACAGGGTCACAAACAGTTGAACACAACTGAAGCATGCACACAAACACGTACCTATTTACATATTATACTTACTGAGAACCTTCTATGTTGCAAACTCTGTAAGAACTACTCTATATGTAGTATCTCATTTAAGCCTTACCAACCACTCAAGGAAATAAAGACTATGATCATCCCTAGCTTACAAATGAAGAAAATTGAGAGTGAAGTACTTACTGGAGGCCAAGCAGTTGAAAAATGACTATGACTAAGCTGGGATTCACATGTAAATCTAGCATCCTCACTGAAGCACTGTCTGTGGGGAATTGCCGGTGATGTTTTGGGAAAGATGAGTTTATTTCTTCTTTGATTTTCAAAGGAATTTAGTGAACAGCTTAGTCATTTGAAGGGATGTGCTCAAAATACAAAGGTGTACTTATCCTGACAACACAATTTGAAATAGCCTATCAAAGAAAAGAATCCAAATTAGTGAGGGACATGGACAAAGAATGACCATTTTTATTCTCTGCTCCATAGAAAATGCAATAGGATATTTCACTGAGGCAAGAAAATCTTTAAAAGTCACTAATAAAAACCCATTTGATGTTGGATTTCTCTGACCATGCCCTCCTGGAGCTGGTGGCTTTAGGGCTCACTACTAAAATCCACAAGATGATCTTAGATGAAACGTGGCATCTAGGCTTTGCTGGGGTGCAGTAAATGCTCTGTCAGGATAACTGAACTCGGGCTCTGAGCTGGGAGAGTACGAAGGAAATGCAGATCTCCTTTTTAGATTTTAAGAATTTGTCTTGGAAAGAATAAAACCCAAGTATTATTCCACTTAATATTGCACAACATTAAGATGGAAATTAAAACTATGTGAACTGTGCAAATCGCTGCATCTTAAATACCCACCATAAAAATAATGACGGTGTAAGTGTGAACCATTAATTGAGCTAAGTGATGAGCACTTTCCCTTTTATGTAGCTGCTAGTGAGGATCAAAGTTGAATTCCTCTTGATTCTGCCTCATCTAGCTATTTTTACCTGCTTTTGAGGCTGTGAGCATCTATTTTGGGGACTACTTGATTGGCTTGAAAATCTACGTGCTGTAAGCTCTAAGAGTAACTCCCTTACCTCCTACCATCCTGAGTGATGGAGATAAATGATTATTTCAAAGTTTCCTTGAATACTGGAATAATAGTTCTCTTAGGAACAAATATAAAATTTAACCTGGAGATACTAAATTTTTAACCCTGAGAATTTGGCTGACTTGGATATGTTGGACCTTTTGATTTCTCTTTTCCTAGTTTAAATGTTTTTGTTCAAGTTCATCATGCATAAGTGTATCAGGGTACTTACGGTCTTTTCTAACAGCTTTAAGGTGCCTAGCTTCTCCACTGGAAGGTATTTGATGAGCTACTCATATGTTGTCAATGGTAACCAGTATATGAGATATACTTTATCTTAATATAATGTAGAACATTTAGCATTAAAAAAAAAAAACACATGGTAGATGTTCAAGAAGTGCTATTTGCTTTCTTCAGTACATTGGTCATGGTCTAAATAATGTCCTTTAAAGTATCACTTAATAAAATAGCAGTAACAACAAAAACTTTAGGTGAAATACAGATCATCTTCTACCAAGAACCTTTGTGCAGGCCTTCGGCTGGGTATTGCACAGCTCTCTTCCCTGCAACTTTACCAGGTAGTTTTTATTCTCAAATCTTATCAGAGATAATCTATCTAGGGTCACATGCTAAGTAGGAACACCTGACTGTACATTGTCTGCTGCTCCAAAATTTATATTATTTCCATCTTGAGGCAAATCAACACTTGCTCATTCTCTACAATGCTAAAATACTTACAGTTCATTTTTTGCAGGTGAATGTTGCAGAAGTTTTCTGATATATTGTAAAAATGTTGATGTATTTTTCTATTTTAAGTGTTTATTTACCCTGCCTCTTTCATTGAACATTAAATTAAAAGCATTTTTCATGTTTCCTGAAGAGTCTTCTTAACTATCCTTTTTTTTTTTTTTTTTAATCTAGTTTTTAAAGAGGCATCATTTTCTGGCTAGCTATCAAAACAGTTATGTACTGTTTTTGTGCATTAGTGGGGAGGGTGCTGCAGTATGTCACTGTTCTGGCCACCCCTTTTTGAAAGGGAGAGCAGACTGACTGGTTTTTCTTTTTGTAAATCCAACCTCTTCTCAGCTCAATGTGCTCTTGAACTTAAGTGCTAGAGGTGACATTGTTAGGAAATCAAGCCCATCCCTCTGGATAACACCAGGACACCTTCCCCGAAAGCAAGACAGGTGCCTTTCACGTGGTGGTGGTCATGTTAAGCAGGAGTTGGCTGTCTCCGTGCCACATGAGATTTGGCTTGTATTATCTCTACCTTAGGTAAATAATTTCTTTGACTACTTGAGTGGACTTTTCCTTCTGCCCGTGGAGTTCCTCAAGTTTTTTTGAGTTTTAATTTTTTAATTAATTTTTAATTGAAGTATAGTTGATTTACAATGTGTTAGTTTTAGATGAAGAACAGAGAGATTCAGTTATATATATATGTATATGTATGTGTATGTGTGTGTATGTATGTGTATATATGAAAGTGAAACTGTTAGTCTCTCAGTCATGTCCAACTCTTTGTGACCCCTTGGACTATAGCCCACCAAGCTCCTCTGTCCGTGGAATTCTCCAGGCGAGAATACTGGAATGGGTTGCCATCCCCTTCCCCAGGGGATCTTCCTGACCCAGTAAAGGAACCCAGGTCTCCCGCATTGCAGGCAGATTCTTTACTGTTTGAGCCCCCCACCAGGGAAGTTCATGTGTATGTGTGTGTATTATTTTTCAGATTATGTTCCATTATAGATTATTACAAGATACTAAATACAGTTTGTGCACTATACAGCTATAGTTCCCTATGCTATACAGTTCCCTTGTTGTTTATCTGTTTTATATATAGTAGTATGTGTCTGCTAATCCCAAACTCCTAATTTAACACCCGCCCCCTTTTCCCCTTTGATAACAGTGTTTGTTTTCTGTGTCTTTCTGTTTTATAAATAAGTTCACTTGTATCATTTTTTTTAGATTCAAAGTATGATTGATATCATATGATATTTGTCTTCATCTGGCTTCCTTCCCTTAGTATGATAATCCCTAGGTCCGTTCTCCTCAAATTTTTCTTGATCTTCCCTGCTTATTCTCTTATATGATCTAAATAGAACGCACCTCTCAAGATTCCCTAAAGCTCCTTTAAATCAAGGTGTTTCTCCCTTCATTCTCCCGCTGCTGGGACTACACAGGGCAGTTTCAGCCACTGTGGTTGGAGCTCACATCAGATGAAGAACACAGGCATTGACCAGCGGCTTACAGTAGTATTGCACTGCAGCGCTCTTACGATGACTTCTATGGGAGTGTATGACATGAGGAGAGCGTGAGAGATCGTAGAACAGGCTCAGGAGAGTGCTATAGGAGTTGAGAGCAAGATCACTTCTATCTCAGAGTATCAGGGATGGTGTCATGGAGAACATTTCTTGCTCAACTGGCACATTGTCTAACCTGTTCAATACAAGAAAACACTTCCAGTCACCAAGCATCAATGAAGCAGAAGATCCATCTCTACCTTTTTTTTTCCTAAAGAATTTTATGACTATCTTTATCCATCACACAGACTTTGGTATTTTGGCAGCTTATCTCTGTAGAGGACTTCTGGTAAATGATAATCTCAATACTTTCATACCATTATTCATATAGCCTATTAATAATTTTCATAGAACATGAAAGCATAGCTTCTGCTTAAGAAAGATGAAGAGTTAATGAAAGGTGAAATACTTACCAAAGGCTTACCCTAAATATCTGTGGGTAAGAGACATACACTTAGATTTTGATAAAGATGCAGTATTTATAAGAGGGTTTACTCTGGATCAAAACTGTAATGATAACAGCACTAGCAACACCTGATACTTGCATGGTATTTATGGTGGGTCAAACATCATTCTCAGAGTTTTAATATATGAAGTCATCAATCTTCGTAACAAGCCTATGAGATAGGTACTATGATAGCCACTCTGCAGATAGGAAAACGAGCACCATGAGGTTGATACATTGCCACGGGTTTTTTAGCCAGTGAAGGGCAAAATTAGAATGCAGAGGGAGATAGTTTGTCTTTCAAGTCTGTGCTCTTAATCACTGTCTTATCAGGCTCTCTTCACAAATATTATATCTAATAACCTTTCATGTGCATGTTTCACAGATGACAAAAGCCATACTCAAAGCCTATAAAACTAGTTAAGTGGCAAAACCAAGATTTGAAGCCAGGAGTTTAACCAATCTTCTTTCCAACTGAGCCTCCTCACTTGATGAATTTCACAAGAGATTAGCTTGAATTTACAAGAAAATTTAATAAGTAAGAAAGAAAACATTTTTTTAAAGTCTAAATACTGGCCAGATGCTAGCAGTGAAAATTTATCAATAAGCGAGCGTTAGAGTCCTCTATGTACCCAGCTTCTGATGGGAAACAGTAAAGCATTAAGACTAACACACAAGAAATAATTGAAAAATAAGATTTTCCTTTGAATTGGCTTTCATTGCATGCAGCCATACTTCAGAGAAGGGAGAAAAGCATGTGAGCAGGAGCTGTCAGGGACGATTTCCTGAGGCAGGTGGAAGTCAGTTGTAGCCTTGAAGGACAGTAGAATTGGATAGAGCTAAAGAAAGAGAGGATTTGAGGTGGAAAGGGAAGCGGAGAATGTAGAGTCAGAGATCGGGCCAAACTCAGGTGTGGAGACGTCATCAGGATCCTGTGACATGATGTGTGTTTTGGGGAGCCTGAGAAATGAAGTTGGATTTAGATTCTTGGGCAGGAGAGCAGCATCGTGAAACAGGGTGAAAGGATGTAGAGAAGCGAGTGCACTTCAGGACCAGAGGAGAGAGTTTGTTAATGGAAAGTCTGTCTTCAGAGTGCCCAGCACATAGAGGGTAAACGGGACTGCTCCTCTGTGGTTACCCCGTGTCTCAGAGTCTGACCACTGGATCTCCACATTCGCGTGTTTCCTAGAGAAATGAAGGTGATCTCTTCCACCGACTGTGGCACATCATGAATGAAATCCTGGATCTGCGGCGGCAGGTGTTGGTGGGGCACCTCACCCATGACCGGATGAAGGACGTGAAGCGCCACATCACTGCCCGCCTGGACTGGGGCAACGAGTGAGTACCTGCCACCCTGGGGATGAGCTCTGGTGGGTGCACACGAGGGTGTGACTGCAACAGTGGTGTGAGCCACTGTGTACTTGTAGCTCTGGAAAACTTTCCAGTTTTCTCCTTGGGGGGGCTTGGTGCAGACTGTCACTGATGGAGCTGAGAACGGCATCTTCTAGGGCTGGTGTGGGTCCCGGACGTTCTCAGTTGTCTACTGCCCTGTGTGGTCTGACAGTGTGCATGTGCTCATGAAATACAAAATGTTCACTGGGGTCAATCAGATATGACTTCCACGGAGAGTACTACTACTACTGTGTGCTCAGTTGCCTCTGACTCTTTGCAACCCCATGGACTGAAGCCCACCAGGCTTTCCGGTCCATGGACTTTTCCAGGCAAGAATACGGGAGTGGATTGCCATTTCCTTCTCCACACTGAGAGAACATCTTGTTTCAAAAAGGCTTTAGGTTTGACATGTGTATGTCTTTCTAAATACATTCCTCTTTTCTGTTGTGGTCATAGATTGTTGATGTTATGCGGAGGGAGATGGCTTCTGTTAAAAGTCTTAGGGACAGGGATCCTGAGTGGTGGTGGGGAAAGGCTGAGGGGTGGCTTTCATCACTGCCCTGATTCTACCTGTGCATATATGTTAGTGTCTTTTGAGGAGCTGCTTGGGAAAACTTGCTAAAAAGTTGATCTTGACCAAGATTTGCTCTTAAATAAGACATAAGTGACTAATCTAATAGCCAAGTACTTTGAATAGTAAATCTAGTCACTTAAAGCAGTGATCAAGGCTGATGTTGTGCTAAGTATGAATGTTAATATACGGGTGAGAAATTAGAATAAGCCAACTTTGACTATGATGTTAGGCTTATGTGGGCTCAATCATAAGGAAGGTAACTGGTCCCTCGGTATCCTATAAGGTCATGGCCTCCCTCTCTTCCCAAATCCCCATTCATTGTTTGGACCTTCAGAGCATCTTCTGTTCAGTTCAGTTGCTCAGTCGTGTTTGACTCTTTGTGATCCCATGAACTGCAGCATGCCAGGCCTCCCTGCCCATCACCAACTCCCGGAGTTTACCAAACTCATGTCCATTGAGTCGGTGATGCCATCCAGCCATTTCATCCTCTGTCATCCCCTTCTCCTCCAGCCTTCAATCTTTCCCAGCATCAGGGTTTTTTTTCCAATGAATCAGCTCTTCCTAATGAGTCAGTTCTCTGTTCAGGTAGCCAAAGTATTGGAGTTTCAGCTTCAACATCAGTCCTTCCAATGAACACCCAGGACTGATCTTGCAGTCCAAGGGACTCTCAAGAGTCTTCTCCAACACCACAGTTTAAAAGCATCTATTCTTCGGCGCTCAGCTTTCTTTATAGTCCAACTCTCACATCCATACATGACTACTGGAAAAACCATAGCCTTGACTAGATGCACCTTTATTGACAAAGTAATGTCTTTGCTTTTTAACATGCTGTCTAGGTCGGTCATCACTTTCCTTCCAAGGAGTAAGCATCTTTTAATTTCATGGCTGCAGTCACCATCTGTAGTGATTTTGGAGCCCCCCAAAATAAAGTCAGCCACTGTTTCCACTATTTCCCCATCTATTTGCTATGAAGTGATGGGACCAGATGCCATGATCTTACTTTTCTGAATGTTGAGCTTTAAGCCAACTTTTTCACTCTCCTCTTTCATTTTCATCAAGAGGCTCTTTAGTTCTTCACTTTCTGCCATAAGGGTGGTATCATCTGCATATCTGAAGTTATTGATATTTCTCCTGGCAATCTTGATTCCAGTTTGTGTTTCTTCCAGCCCAGCGTTTCTCATGATGTACTCTGCATATAAGTTAAATAAGCAGGGTGACAATATATAGCCTTGACGTACTCCTTTTCCTATTTGGAACCAGTCTGTTGTTCCATGTCCAGCTCTAACTATTGCTTCCTGACCTTTCTCAAGAGGCAGGTCAGGTGGTCTGGTATTCCCATCTCTTCCAGAATTTTCCATAGTTTATTGTGATTCACACAGTTTATTGTGATCCTGTGTGGATCAGGACATCTTAGAGCAACAGAAAAAGGGAAAAGCAGACAGGAAAGGAGAAGGCAGTAAAAGAGACCACAGATGAATTTTCCTCTTACCGAATCTAGAAAAACCAATTTGAAATCAAGAGTAATGCTTCCTTTAAGTATAGGACATCACTTTATCAGAAGGCAGTTTTGATTCCTACTAAGACATCATATACTACAGGAGTGAAGTATATAACACATTTTAAAGCTCTATCTTGTCCAGAGTCCTTCTGTTATTTCGCTGAGTGAGCTGTGCCATTCATCCTTTTATAGACAGTCAAGAGAGCAGCCCTAATTCAGTTATCTCGGGGAGATTCATTCCTTATGGGAAATCAAGGGCAGGGGTAGAATACAGCAAGACACTGCACTCGGAACTCTCCTCTTTTAAGATGTGAGGCAAATTCCTGAGCCCTCCTTGACTCCAGTTTCTTTGCTTGTCTCTTGTCGAAGGGGTAAGTTGGACCAGAAGAGATCTAAGGCCCCATCCACTCCAGACCAATGTGATTCACAGCAAGGAGCGCTTCCTGAGGGATGGGGTATGCCAGCCATGTGCAGGGGGCCTCCAGTCTCACTGTGTGTGATGGGGTGGCCCTTTGAGGGGTAGATCTGAAGACTGTTTGACCATGACCTAGGCTGCCCATCTTTCATGTTTCGTATGTTTTTGAATGTTTTTCCTTTTTGTTTTGAAAAAACTTGGTTCTCTGAATCATATTGGCCCTTAGTCATCATGTCAGTTCTCCTTTAAAAGACTAGTTTGTAAATAGGAAGAAAGTTGGATGAAGTTAGCTTATCAAAAATATCTTAGAAATACAGAGCAGGCAAGAAGATGATACTTTTTCAGTTTTAGGAAGGAAGATGATGACATAAGGAAGGGAAAAGAGGGAAAAACATTAATTATGACTGAATCATGGCTCAGTTTTGACTCATGTAAGTTCCAGCTTATGCTTTGGGCAATTCTATGGCTAATTTACGGTAAGTTGGTAAAACATGGATGTATGAAAATGAGCAATATAATTTATTTAGATCATCCTCAAATTCATGAATTTTCAGAGGTCTGATTTTGCTTTCTTTGAGTTTGACAACTTATTTAAAATGACTTACAGTTTACAGATTGTGCATTTACTGTATTTCTTTAAATATAGTTTTCTTACTGAAAGGGAAAAACTAAAGTGGAGGAAACTTGGGAGGAGGAGGAGATAGTCGTCTCATTCCCTATCAGGGCCGTCAGAAGTGTTCTTGCCTGAAAGCCTCAAACAGAGCTGCAACGGTGGCCGCCTCTCCCTTCTCCACAGAGCCCTGTGCTGTCTTTTGATGTTTCTGTGATGGTACTGGAGGGAGAATCAATTCATTCTTCCTTCCTGATGTCCCAGAGCAGTTCAGTGACTGTGTTAACATAAAACCAACCCCTGATGCCAGGTCAAAACCTCAAGGTCAGACTTCCCTCTCCTCCACTCTATGTTCTAGAACAAAATTATGTCTAGTTTCCAGGCCAGCACAATGAGGAAGGGTTTCTGTGGTAATAGTTTGTGTGCTAAAGGCTCGCCACTCTGTAGAACCAAGGCCCCAGTGGCAAAAGCGTTGCCCCAAGAGGGTCGGCCCATTCCCACCCCATCCCTGTTTCCTTGCCTTTATCATCTTCTGTTTCTCAAGTTATAACCAGTGTTCAGCCTACTTACTTAGTCCGAGCACAGTAAAAGGTTATGATAAGGTAAAAAGTTTGGGTGAGAGAAGCACAATGGGTGATGTATTGAATTGTAGAGTGATACAGTTAAGATAATTATTTTAAATATATTCTGCTGAGGTAACGTTTCTTCCAAACATTTGCAATTTGTTTTCTAGACAACTGGGACTGGACCTGGTACCTAGGAAAGAGTATGCAATGGTGGATCCAGAGGACATCAGCATTACTGAGCTCTACCGATTGGTAGGTATAGGAACCTGTGGCTCACAGTCTCACTGCTAATTTTGTGGTTTCCATGACACTTTTCATACTTGCTTGGTTTTGTAAGAACAGGATGTTCCAGGTTTAATTTGGAGCAAGTAAAGAGAATTGAGAGCTGAGGTGACCCTGCCCCAAGTACAAAACTAAGATAATTTACCCGTCTCAGAATTACCTGACATTCCTACTGAGCCCTCAACTCCCAGGCACTAGGAAGTAAAGCCAAAGAAGTTTTAAGTTCTTTTCCTAAATCTTTCTACTTTGCCTGGGCTAGTGAAATGCTTACAAGTTGTATATTTATCTGTTGTGTATCAAGACATTGTTATGACTAATGGTTTCCAGTTAGTGCTCATCAGCGTGTTAACTCCATTCCCTCCTGTCTTATCACTACATGCACAGACTCCTGAAAGTGTCTCCTACTTGGTCTCCAAATGCTGGTCTTAGCCCCCATCTCTCTGAGACTGTTTCTAAGTACTGAAGCTTATTAATAATCATAAGATACTTGGTCATATCACCCACCATGGCATCACCCATGACGAGTTTTTTCCCTAGTTACATGATAGGTTACAGTCTAGTTATTTACTTGGCATCTAGGTTCCCTGAATGATCTGTCTGTCTTGTATTTTGCCTCATATTCTTAATATTTATATAAAGTTTACCTAATCTCTTGTTATTCACTGGTAGTGTGATGTTTCAGTCACTATCATCTTTCACTCTTGCAACCCCAGGCTCTGTAGTCTGCCAGGGCTCCTCCGTCCATGGGATTTCCCAGGTAAGAATACTGGGATGGGTTGCCGTTCCCTCTCTACGGGTCTTCCTGACCCAGGGATCAGACCTGGGTCTTCTTCGTTGCAGATGGGTTCTTTACCAACTGAGCCACCAGGGAAGCCCCTGTTATTCACTAAGCTCTTTTGAAACCTCAAATCAAAGAAAAATGTGGCTGGAAAGACATTCAGTCACCATCCCAGGTGTAATTTTGCTTTGCTCTAGTTACTGCTGTATCTTTCCATAATGTTCCAAGGAGGAATCACTGTGGTCAACACTGGATTCCTTTTTTGGAAGATCCTGCCTATTTGGAGGTAACTTCCCAACCTTCTTCATAGAAACGCAGGTTATTCTTGACCTGAGATTATCTGAAAAACATGAGGAAAAAATCCAGTATGCATATGTCTGATTTGAGAAAGTGATTTTTAATACCACATTCAGTTTTTTTTTTCTTTTTTCTTCATTTTTTTCGGTTGTTTTAAGGTTATCATGTCAGCTGGAATAAATTCTTTTTCTGTAAAGAATTTCCTTTACATTGAGCTTCTTGAGAGTGGTGCTTCATGCCACACCCCTCTCTGACGTTAGTGCTAAGTGGAGTGTCAAGCCCAGAGCAAAAACACAGTTAAACATTGGTTGGAGGGAGGAGGGCAAAGATGATTACAAGTAGTTTAAAGTCATCACTAATTCTTACCTTATGTATATATATGTATATATAACAAAATCATTAGAATTTGTCAGACACATCGTCTAATGGGATATTTTTATTATAGTTTATTTAACTATTGGGCATCAAATTTTGTCTCTCACTTTTGTTTTAATTTCTCAATCAATCTGAAGTTTCTTCAGAGTGAGCACCATGTCTTATCTCCCTTTGTTATGTCTGAGGTCATCTCGTACAGTGCTTTGCACTCAATAAGCAATCACTTAATGGTTTTGCAGTCATTATGATATTATGAGAAGACCATGGCTGTAGATCAAGAAAACTAGATTTGAATTTTATCTCTTCCTTCGACCAGCTCTCTGATCTTGGATTTATTGCTCAGTGTTTCAGAGCTTCAGTTTCTTCGTCTATTAAATGGAGAAATCATTCTTATCATGTTTGTTTGGGAGATTAAATAAGACATTCATGTGAAATGCCTTTCCTTGGCAGATAACATTTGCAAAGCAACTAAGCATTCAGTCAGTCTTCATTCTTTTCTCATCTTTATTTCATCCTTATTAGAGAGGCATGGTGGCAAGAATAATTGTTACCTTACATGCTATGTCTTTGAGGTTTCCCTGGTAACTCAGGTGTTAAAGAATCTGCCTGCAATGCAGGAGACACCGGTTCGATTCCTGGGTTGGGAAGATCCACTGGAGAAGGGATAGGCTACCCACTCCAGTATTCTTGGGCTTTCCTGGTGGCTCAGCTAGTAAAGAACCAGCCTGCAATGCAGGAGACTGGGTTTGATCCCTGCATTGGAAAGATCCCCTGGAGAAGAGAATTCCATGGACTGTATAGGCCATGGGGTCACAAAGAGTCAGACACGACTGAGTGAATTTCACTATGCTACTTCTTAAAATTAGATTTGACTGTGTTCAATGAAATAAATAATAGAAGCTTAGACATGATAGAAATTTATTTCTCTTTGACAGTACACAAGCCCAGGCAGCAGGTCTTGGGCTTGTTTGTGGATTCATGATGTCAGAAGCAAAAAAAGGATCCTTTATCCAGGATGCTTCACAGTACAACATAGCTGCAAGAACTCCAGCTATTACATTGCTCTCCAACAATAGGAAGGAGAATGATTTCTTTCAGTTGACTCAGCTACTTTAATGAGTCCTTTTGGAAACTCCACACATACTTTCCCTTATATTTCTTTGGCTAGGGCATGGTCACATCCCCATATTTAGCTAGAGCTGTCAGATATTTGATAAGCAACTAATAGTATCTGACACAAATATGCTTTATTTTCCCAAGTTTGACTTTGTATGCATGTAATTTTATCTATCTGCTTTTTACTTAATGTCATCTATAGGATGAGAAATTTATTTCGTCTCTTTGGACTTTCCAATTTGCTAGCTGTGGCTGCTGGGAGTGTTATGTTGATAGGATTCTGGGGTCTCATCTGGGCTGTGATGACTGCCAGATGAGAAGGATTTTTTTGTATTTTATACCTCAGAACTTAGTCCACAGTCTTCATTCGTCAGAAACGTGATTTTAAATGAAATTGGGATTCTCCTCCTCCTTTGCATTTTACTGTTTCCAAAGTAAAGAGAATACTCCAGGAAACCTCAAATGATTATAAACGTCAGAAGGACATGTTTTTTCTTTAAGGCAGCTTCAAGTTCCTGTTTATGTCCTGGCACAGCAGTAATCAGGTTGTCTGTAGCACTGGCCCTTTTCTCTATGCAATGTAAACATGACTGCCTGTGCTGACTTCACCGAGGAGAGTTGGCGGGCACCACCACCAAATCCCTTGTGGCTGGGGGTGGGGGTTGTCTTTGCCCTGTCATATTTGAAACACAGGTATTTGCATCTTACTAACTCCATATTGCATCATTAGGGAAAAAAAGAAGTCTTGTTTTCAGTTTTTGATAGCCCTGTTAGCAGATCTTTCTCACCTCATTGTGTTCATCTAAGCAGTAAAATGTGCTAAACCTCACAGTGTTAACATATGTCCACTTGGTTTACTGCCAATGACCAGAGTTCAGTCCTTTGCTAAATAGAAAGTTAATTTGTGCATAAGGAGGATCTTTATAGGAAACTTTCTTGGTTTTTATAAGATCATGTTAGCAGCTTGCTGTGTGATCCTTAGTGGGTAGGCCAGTGGTTCTCGAACATAGAACAGGGTACATTTGGCCATGGCTGTAGACATGTTTTGATTGTCACAGTTGGGGATGGTGTGGGCTAGGGGATCAGGAGAGGTGCTACTTGGGCTAGGGGGTCAGGAGAGGTGCTACTGACATCTGGCGGGTACATGCCAGAAAATGGGAAACATCCCACAAAGCTCTCACAACACAGAAAGAACCAACCCCAATTATCAGTAGTGCGGAAGGTAAGAACCCTGGTATATATAGACAGTTTACCCAGTAACTGATGCATTGGTGAGGATTAAAAATCTGTATCACTTTAATAAGTCTTTGGAATACATCTCTTTCTTTCCCCAATCAAAGGTCTAGTTAAAATGTAAGTGCATTTAGAATAACTGCTAGGTGCCTTTGTAACCGTAAATTATTTCAGAGATAGATTTGTCTATTTCAGAGGTAGATTTTTGTCTGTGTGTTATAACTATCAAATCATAGCTCTTGAAGTATGAACTTGCCGTTCTCATTTTGCTGTTGTAATAATATCTTCACAGAGATATTTTTAGCAGTTCCCAAAAGATAAACAAATTACCAAAAGATAAACAAGTCCTCATAACCTACTCAAGTTCAAATCCATCTCAGGCTTGGAAACCTTATAGGTGAGGGAAGAGAGGTGATTTCAGAGACCAAATATTTCAAGACAGTAATTATACAAAAGATGTAACAATACGTTTTTCAACCCGCTAGGATTTGCGTCTCTTTCGCGTGATCTTAATCAGTGATTCTTAGCCTTCACTGCACATTAGAATCACCTGGGGAGCTTTTAAAACTTCTCTTCTCTAGACCCCCACCCCCTGGAAATTCTAGTTTAATTGTTCTGGGATAGGACCTGGACGTAAGTATTTTTTAAAAGCTCTCTTGGTGATTCTAAAGTGCAGCCAAGGTTGAGAACCACTGATCTAGATATATTGGATTCTCTGCATGAGTGAGGGAGCTAATTCTTCCGTTCAGTGTTTAGTGAATGTCATGATGGATGCTGGGAACTTTGCACAGTTTGAAGTGAAGACCAGACATCTCCTAGTTCTGATACCTGATTTTCCAGCTCTAACCTTTAGTAGTTACTCATTTCTTCATAGAAGTTTGTGCTTTGTTACCCTGAACTTTGAAGTAAGTCAGTAAATAAATTAGCAATTTCAGAAAATAAAAAACTACTTGGGAAACTAAAAAGATGTAGTTTTATGCATGTATGATGCTTCCTTTGCCCTGTTTTAAGGAGTTTTTAAAGTACAAAATAGAGCAACCATCATAGAAAAAAGACAGAATTATGCTTTTTTTCTCTCCAGGAAGCCTTTTCTGGTAATTATGGCCAACACATACCACAATGTTGACGTCCGCTTTAAAAGAAAATGCACTTACTCCTCACTCTTACAGAGGCGTGTTCAGTGTCCCTGTTGAGTATACGACAATTATAGATATATTCAGTTAATTGCATTTTTTTTTTTTTTTAGCTATTTACTTTTCAAGTGGTTCAGATTAAATGATAAAAGCATGAAAAAATTCTGGTGATTTTATGTTGTTGCATTTATAACTAAATGTAAATAGCATTTTTTTTTGCATTCAAATCTTGGTTAGTCAGTCATTAGTTGTTGTTGTTGTTGTTTTTTCAGTCATTAGTTTTTGAACTATACTTAGAAACATTAAAAGGTGGCTGAGGTAGACAAAGAGTTTTGTACCTTAACTTCAAGCAAAGATATGACTCCTTTGGAGTTAAGCACCAAGTTTTTTCTTTCCTTCTTTCTTTCTCCCTTCCTTCCTTCCTTTCTCTCAATTGTCCAGTGATCACAAGACGCGCCCTCTTTAGTAGTCCGTTATGAAAGCAGTCATCATCCAGTCTTAGCACCTGTCCTGTTAGTTCACAGCCTTTCTGCATGTTTTCCCTGTGCCCTCACCCTGGGCCAGTTCTGCTCAGTGTGGTTCAAGAACTGGCTGAATCATGAACTGTTTCTAACTGATCCAAGTAGAAAAATGGTGAGTAAATGTATAGAAGCCTTTATGACGTTTCAACATTGCTATGACATTTTGATTGTATTTTATGAAAATATCAACCTGTGGTAGATTAGAGGGGAAGACAGCCTGGTCCTTGACTGCAGGTAATTTGTGAAGCACTATATAGATGGTTCATAATTCCTTCTCACCCTTTAGCTCTTAGTTAAAGTGTTGCTTTCCCAAGATGCTTTCTCTGACTGCTCAGACACAAGTCAGATCCTCCATTCATCATAGTTGCAATTTTCTATCTGCTTGTGGGACAGTTTTGTTGATAGCTGTTCCCCCTAGTAGAAAAGCTCCACAAAGGCATAGGCTATTTCTGTGTTTACCCATCATTGCATTCCCAGTGCTGGGCATGTTATAGACACATAACAAATATGTTAATAAATGATCATTTCCATGTTCTCCTCACCCCTGGAACCCTGGGTGATTCCTTTCCTTCCTTAGCATGTGGGAACTCTTACTTCTGGTCCCACCTCTCATGTGTAGCCTAGGCTGGCTATATTAAAAGAGAAACTAGAGATGGACACAGAGACTATTCCTGCCTTTAGACACTTACTGAGTTTTGTAGGTCTGCCTCCCTTTATCTCCACATCAGATTAGAAACATTTTCTTTTTCTAATGATTGAATATCATTTGCTACTGCCTGCCTTGGAAAACTACCAAACCTTTACTATAATTTAAAAGAACTTTTAATTATGAGAAAAGTGAAATCATAGCTATATTGTTTAGCTCCCATCAGTGAAATGACCAGTTAGATTTTTGATTTAGTCTGATGTTTTAAAAGATGACCCATAATTTGTTCTTACCCTGGGAGTTGACAAGGGTAGAATCCTTTGCATTTCATGCTGCCTGTGAGTTGGTATCATTTTAATGTTAATAATTAAGAAACAAATCTTCTTAAAGCAGGATTCCTGATGGTCTGCAGACTTCAGTAGAAGTTGAAATAAAACTTGGAGTTTAACACCCAACTGGATACCAAATTCACAGCCAAAAAAAAAGCACAGGACATTATGATCACACCATAGCTAACTAGTTTGTTGGGTTCCATTGTTTCCCTTGGTCCACGCTGATCTTGTTTTTTGATGGACGTCATACAGATGGAGCATCGACATCGGAAGAAAGATACCCCAGTGCAGGCCAGCAGTCACCACCTCTTTGTGCAGATGAAGAGTCTCATGTGTTCCAACCTGGGAGAGGAGCTTGAGGTCATCTTTTCACTGTTTGACAGTAAAGAGAATCGACCAATCAGGTAAATGCATGTGGAGGTATGACTTGAATTACTTAATGGTAGAGTGATGGGTGTTTGCAACTGGCAAACTTTGGGATGTGTGACCTTGTACACTTTTGCTCTATCAGCCTATTTTCTCACCTTTAGAACTTCATGAATTTCTAAGCTGCATACCTTCTGGAGGTTTCCCTGGAAATTAAATGAGATGAGGCATGAAAAGCTTTGTTTTGAAAAACTCAAAAAGGCCATAGAACCATACTTATTGTTAAATGAAAGTATGTCATTGATAGCAGGTCTGTTATTTGTTTGAGTTGTTTTGTGTTGATAATGCAAAAAAGACATAAATCTCTAAACCTGAAGTTCATTGGCATCTCAAGGTCAATACATTGTAGTTTTCAAATTTTCAGTAAACAGTAAATTATTCTTACCCTGTTCACATCAAATGATATTGAGGAAAAACTAAAATTAGAAACCTTTCCATTAGCGTTTCAGAGGTGGGAAATAATAAAACAGTTTTCACATACATTTTTTTCTTTCTCTGTCTTACCTGTTGTATTTCTCTTATGGCAAGTTTTCCGTATTTAAGAAAAACTTAAAATGGATGTTTTGGCTGTTATCCAGAAGTCTCAACCTTTTTTGAGACTCGTTTATGTGTAAAAATGTTTTCATCTTAAAGTTGAGTATAATCCACACCATCTTTTACATGAGAAAATTTTAGTTTGAAATTAAAATTAATATTATACCACAAATCACACATAATGATCCAACTGTACCCCACTTTAAAAAATAATACTTACTTAAATAAGTGTTGACAGTTTTAGGCAACAATGAGCTACATATTATTTTATAAACACAAACTATTTCTTTTCTGGCAAAAAGAAAATCTTTTTTTAAGGAAATCTGTGTGAAGGTTGTTTTTAATGTGTTTATAGCCATAAAATTTTGAATTAGCTTATATGTTATTCATTGCCTGCTAGAAAGTATACTTTCTATTTCCTAACAGTGAACTGTGTCCATAGAGTTTAAAGGTGTTGGTTTATACAGGAAAGGCAAGATTTATGAGGTGTGGAAGTAATGATGGGAATACAGTTTCAAATCTACTTTATACACTGTTGCAGGAAATGAGTCAGTGAGTTAAAAGACCCTTTCCCCTCCCCAAATCAACACCACTAAAAAGGGAAGATAAAGGCCTGAAAAAAGGATCCACGTTACTGTTTAGCACTGACTTTAGAGATGTGAAAGATTCCTTAGAGATAATACCTGCTTACACATTGAAGTGTTTTAGAAAGCTTGGTTTCCAGGTAGTGTAATTTAACCAATGGTTTCGTAACATTGTCTGTGTCATGTATGGTCTCTGAAATTTTTTCAAATTTTCAGTAAACAGTAAATTATTCTTACCCTGTTCACATCAAATGATATTGAGGAAAAACTAAAATTAGAAACCTTTCCATTAGCGTTTCAGAGGTGGGAAATAATAAAACAGTTTTCACATACATTTTTTTCTTTCTCTGTCTTACCTGTTGTATTTCTCTTATGGCAAGTTTTCCGTATTTAAGAAAAACTTAAAATGGATGTTTTGGCTGTTATCCAGAAGTCTCAACCTTTTTTGAGACTCGTTTATGTGTAAAAATGTTTTCATCTTAAAGTTGAGTATAATCCACACCATCTTTTACATGAGAAAATTTTAGTTTGAAATTAAAATTAATATTATACCACAAATCACACATAATGATCCAACTGTACCCCACTTTAAAAAATAATACTTACTTAAATAAGTGTTGACAGTTTTAGGCAACAATGAGCTACATATTATTTTATAAACACAAACTATTTCTTTTCTGGCAAAAAGAAAATCTTTTTTTAAGGAAATCTGTGTGAAGGTTGTTTTTAATGTGTTTATAGCCATAAAATTTTGAATTAGCTTATATGTTATTCATTGCCTGCTAGAAAGTATACTTTCTATTTCCTAACAGTGAACTGTGTCCATAGAGTTTAAAGGTGTTGGTTTATACAGGAAAGGCAAGATTTATGAGGTGTGGAAGTAATGATGGGAATACAGTTTCAAATCTACTTTATACACTGTTGCAGGAAATGAGTCAGTGAGTTAAAAGACCCTTTCCCCTCCCCAAATCAACACCACTAAAAAGGGAAGATAAAGGCTTGAAAAAAGGATCCACGTTACTGTTTAGCACTGACTTTAGAGATGTGAAAGATTCCTTAGAGATAATACCTGCTTACACATTGAAGTGTTTTAGAAAGCTTGGTTTCCAGGTAGTGTAATTTAACCAATGGTTTCGTAACATTGTCTGTGTCATGTATGGTCTCTGAAATATTTAATGAACTGTATGGAGTGTAAAATGAAGAAAGGAGGTTATGCTTTTGCTCATTCCTGTTCAGCTAAAGTTTTTAAGGAATATACATTCCCCTTTGCCAGTAGTTTTCAAATGGCATTGACATAAGATTAATATTAGCTTGTCTCTCAGTTTTGTCTTGTTAGAAACATTTTGAGATTTTCTAAAACATTCCTTCAGGCTTTGACTGACAGTTACTCCTCTTTTATTCCTGTTTACTTGATGAAAGTAGGAAAAAACCGTGGGTGCAGAATTCCAAAACACTGTTTCTGTGGTTCTAGGTTCCGCCCAGGAGCTGGGCCTGTGATGTGATTGGGCTGTTTCTGTGCCTGACTCCCTCCTCCAGCCTCCAGGCTTCCCCTCTCTGCATCTTAGCCCTTCTTCCCTTCACCCCTTCTCCTCCCACTTCCCCTCTCTAGTCTCCATTCCCTCTGTGACGCACCTGGTGTAGAGTGATCTAGGAGAAATCAAGCCTGAATCTCTCTCACCTGCTTCTACTTGATGAGCTTCGCCATGTGCTCTCAGCTCCCAAACTCATCATCTCTATGAAGTTGATTGGCAAAAGAATGAGGAAGAATGAAAATACATAATTGCTAGGTGTTTGGAAGGATCTCAAATTTCTTAACTTTCTGAGGTTTCAGATGGTGGTGATTATTCTCTTAGGGAGTGTTCAAAGCTTTGCTATGAGTAGCTTGGACTCATACTTACCTTTTGAAGAGGCCTTGGGATGCACAGATCTGAGAACAAGCTTGATTCTTGTCTCTTCAGTTGAATGCTGCTGCCCTGACCCTTTAACTTAACCTCTGTCTTGTTCTTCATCTTGAAACTGGTGACAAGCCTTGTTTCCTTCATTGCTTCTGGCAGAGCTGAGCATTGCAAAATAGTTGCATCTTCTCAGAAAAAGGTAGTGTAAAGCCAAAATATGATATTTGAGGCATTGTTGTATTTCTTCTTATGCCCAACAGCGAATGCAGTGTGAGATGCGTGGGTTATTTTTTTCTCGTTAACAGTTTTTCTCCTTTAAATATAACAGTATATATTTTTTTCATTTCTTGATTTGCATACACACAGAGATTATAACTGCTTCTCACCTCCTTGAGTTACATTTGCAGGTTTACCGCGTGGCAGGCCGTAAGATAAACTCTCCAGTGTGCTCTGGCGTGTACTCTTAGAAACAATGAGGTAAATAGCATCGCTATCAGCTACAAAAGATGAGGTTTAGAGAGAGAAAGTAATGGATGTGTGAGTATTTTAAGATCAACTCATACTATTTTTTAAAGCTTCTTACTTTCAAAAATTTCAGATGTGTTAAAAAGTAGAATAGTGTCATAAAACTTCATAGACCCACCACCAGTGACAACAGTGATCAACTCAGGGCTGATATTGTTTCAACCGTATATCTTTCCAGTCCTCCTCTTTGCTCCCAGCTTATACGGAGGCAAATCCCTGAGATCAAATTTTCATATGTAAATATTGTATGTAAAATATGTTAAAAAAAAAAAAGAAAGAAACTCTAAAAATATTCTTGTCATTCAGGCACTAAGTCATGTCTGACTCTCTGCAACCTCACTGACTGCAGCATGCTAGGCCTCACTGTCTTTCCCTGCCACCCCCTCCCACCCCGCCCAAATAAATATTCCCTTAACATCATCAAATATCTGTTTTTGGTCAGTATTCTGTTCTGCTATTGACTGATGATTATTGTTTTACAGATTCTAGATAAGGAATTTGTAATACATGAGACCCAAATAAAGTCCACCCATTGCATGGTTGATAAGTTTCATGGGTCACCTTTCATATGTAGTTTCCCTTTCCCTCTCTCTCTTTTAAATTCCTTGTAATTTATTTATTTAATTAGTTGGAGGCTAATTACTTTACAATATTGTAGTGGTTTTCGCCATACATTGACATGAATCAGCCATGGATTTACATGTGTTCCCCCCCATCCTGAAACCTCCTCTCACCTCCCTCCCCAACACAGCTACTATGTTAACCCTAAATGTCCTCAAGATTCTTAATATTTGATACTTAAACCCTCATTCAGGGTTGATATGTGGTATCAGACAAACACAGTGTTACCAGAGAAATGGGCTTAGATAACCAACAGTAAAATTAAGTTCATGTTGAACTGATAAGCAGCTTCCATGGGTGTTTGTTGCTCCTACCCAAGCCTAGGATTGTCCCTAAAGTCTGCTTNGAGAACAGTATGGAGATTCCTTGTAATTTATTTGCTGAAGAGACTGGATCATGATTTTACTTTCTTTTTCTCCATTTGAAGTCCAATCCAAACAATGAAATTTAGTAGGCAATAAATGCTGGAGAGGGTGTGGAGAAAAGGGAACCCTCTTACACTGTTGGTGGGAATGCAAACTAGTATAGCCACTATGGAGAACAGTATGGAGATTCCTCGTAATTTATTTGCTGAAGAGACTGGATCATGATTTTACTTTCTTTTTCTCCATTTGAAGTCCAATCCAAACAATGAAATTTAGTAGGCAAAAGATGGTATAATTAAGGGAATGCTGCTGCTGCTGCTAAGTCGCTTCAGTTGTGCGACTCTATGCGACCCCATAGACGGCAGCCCACCAGGCAACCCCGTCCCTGGCATTCTCCAGGCAAGAACACTGGAGTGGGTTGCCCTTTCCTTCTCCAATGCATGAAAGTGAAAAG